GTGTTTCGGGTTCTGAACAGTGGAGCCCCCACCTGCTCCTCAGGTGCATCGTCTCAGGATCCAAGACCGTGACCCGGGACAAACCTGCCAACAAGGCTGCTCGCATCTTAAATACAAACCCTCAACTAGCTGCTACTGGGGGCGGGGGACCCAAACGGATCGCAGGGCCGCTTTTCCTCTTTAACTACAGGTCCAGCGTGGCGGCCTTCCCTGTGGTTCGTGGTCACGTCTAAGGAGCTCAGTGGGGAACGGGTCTGACCCAGCTCCGATGGGGGGATCTGGCCACGGCCCGCCAGCCCCTCCCGGCACAGCAGGCGGCCAGGCTCCCAAGTCCACGTCACTGAATCTCGGGGTTTCTCGCATGAGATTTCCTCTCCCCCTGAGCGGACTTAGCTCCAAATTACATTTTGCTTAGGCTCATGTCAACATGGGTCCCGGGGCTTGGTCAACACTCGGGCGATGAGCTGTGGGGGAGGGGCAGCCGGGACGTTTCCCCGGAGAGGGGCACAGGGCACCCAAGGGAGGAGGCCTCTGCCATCTCTCAAAGCGATGGGGCCGGCGGTGCTTTCTCAGCGGGTATTAGAACTTGGGTCGGGTGTGTGTGACCCCTTCAAAGCCACAGGAAATTCAGCGGCGTCCATAAACTCTTTCCTCCCCTCCTCGCCTTTCTTGGCTCTTTCTTCCAAGAACACACCTCAGGTGGGTCCGGCTGTGCCGGAAACTCTGGAAGTTAGTCCTGGAAGGACTCCTTCCTCAAAGGCAGGGGCAGGAGGGGACAGGGACAGTCAGGGACTGGCGGCGACACCCGCCCGAGGGCCCCTGGCTCTCCCAGCGCCGCCCTGTCCTCCTGAGGGCGCCGTCTCCGCCCGCGGGACCCGCACCCACCTGCCCCGAGAGGTCGCACTCCTGGTCGAAGTCCACGTACTCGTCCTCTTTGCTGTACATGCCCAGGCCCAGCTTGAGCGGCTTCTTCTCCGCGTCCAGCCGGAACTTCAGTTTGCAGAGGCTGTCGAAGAGCTTGGACAGGTGGCGGCTCACCTGGCGGGGGGCGGGGGCACCGGAGTTACACGGCCGCGGGGCTCCACGGGGCGCCCGCAGCCCGCGTTCCTTGGCGGCTGGAAGCACCTTCCTTTCCGGGGGGATCGACTCCCGCTTCTCTGGTTAATGTGAACTGAACGCGCTCAGCCAACAAAAGGGAACAGCGGAAACTGCTCTCGGGCAGGACGCTGGAGCCAGCCCGGGGTCCTCGCCGGACACGGTGTCTGTCCCCAAGTTCTGACCCAGCCACCGGGCCTATTTCCCCAAGTCACACACTCAGATCTTTAAATTTCAGGCCACCCTAGTGCATCCCCGATGGCGAGTCCCGCAACTTTACAGTTAATATATAGTCACCTTCCCTTCACCTGGTTAGTTAACCTCCCCTCTTTCAGAAGAGACTCAAGGAGCCTTTTTTCCAGGCCCCGGGGCCGGCTTTATGGTGGGGGGACCTAGTGAGTGGGCATCTCTCTCAGGAAAGCGTCTTGCTCAGCCCCTGGCATCGAACCCGCTTTCCACACAAGGAAACGAGGCCCAGGGTCCCCAGAGAGTCTCCCGGTCTTTCTGTCATAGTTGGGCCCCGGGTGGTTTCTGGTGTGGACGGCCTCGTGGAGGTGACACGGGACACCGGGGACACTCCTCCACAATTCCAGGGCCGCCCGACGTGGGGGTGAGCACGCGGCCCCCTGGAGCGGGCCTGTCCCTCGGAACGGCAGGGCCACCTACCTCCACGGGGTCATTTCCGTTGGAGAGAATGTCCAGGAGGTCGGCCGAGGACACGAAGTAGAACCTCGGGAAAGCCAGCCTTTTTGTCTCCAAGTACTCGGCCAGGGCCTTCTCGCACACGGCCAGCCTAGGGCAGGGGAAGGGGCTGTCGAGGCTCGAGGGGCAGAGGGTCTCTCCCGGGCCGCCCTGCCCCTGTGGACTGGCAGCCGGAGGTGCCCAGCCTGCCGGCCCCAGCCTGCTTGATTCCGGCTTTCCAACCCGATGTGCTCATGCCCTGCCAGCCCCTCACCTTGGGGGCATCCCTAGGTAGGAGGGGGCATAGTTTAAGGTCCACAGCTGCTGCTCCCTCCAATGTGGTTGGAGTGGCAGACGTGGCCGGACGTGGCCAGACGTGGCCAGGCGTGGCCGACGTGGCTGGGAGCACCAGCTCCCAGGGAAAGGGTGTGCAAACCCATGACCTGGGTTTTTGTTTTGTCTTTTGCGTTGTCTTGGCCAGCACTCGGGTCCCCCACCGTGGCGTCCCTGGTCTACACGGGCGTGGGCACCTACCTCTTCTTCAGATCCTCCAGCTTGTTGTAGAGACCAGGCTTGTTGGTGGCTTCCACCACGTTGGGTGTTTTCACTGCGTCTTCCATCAAGGCCTGGGGAGAGGAGGGGCCGCCCAGGG